TGGCACATGACTGGGTATCCTCTTTAACCATTTTTTGGGGGGCAGGGGTAATACCAAGAATTAAACTGGAGGCACTCAACCACTGAGCCACATCTCAGCCCTATTTTGTATTTTATTTAGAGACAGGGTCTCACTGAGTTGCTTAGAGCCTCGCTTTTGCTGAGGCTGGCTCTGAACTCACAATCCCCCCTGCCTCGGCACCCCCAGCTGCTGGGATTACAGGCGTGCGTCACCGTGCTCGGCCTCATTAACCATTTTTGTGGGTGGAAAGAGCAAGGAGGAGCACATTCAATACCAACAAGAATTGTTTTCTAAAGTATCTCTTTGCTGTTTAAAAGTATGTCACAAATAAGATTCTTGACTACTGTTTTAATGAGATCTAATTTTAAAGTTTTTTTCCTACAAAATAGCTATGGAGGGAGATTTGAGAACATGGCCAACAGAGCACATGACTCTTTCTTTGACTCTTCTTGGCATGTTCTCATTACACTACAGGGTAAGGCCCAAGAGGTGGCAATCCATTCCGACTCTGCTAACAATACAAACTTATCAAAGAAGGTAGGAGTGAATGGGAGACAGGGACAGGCTCCAGATTTGGGGCACTGCAACTTCACACCGTCCTGGAAGCTCCCTCCTGAACACCACCTGGCCCTGCCCACTCTTTTTTAATCAGTGGTTCCCCTGCCTCCCACACCTATTTACACAGCCCTGCTGAATACTTTTCTTCCCCTGCCTGGCAGAACAACAAAGCTCCCAAGCAGGAAGGAAGGCCGCTGACTGGCAGGTCAGACAATGAGGCAATGAGAAGATCAAGGAGAAGTGGTATTCAGAAAGCCCCACAGAGCAAGATTCTCATTTCTTGGGTCAGGATATGAACATCTAAATCAAAAATTGTTCTGCAAATGTATAAAAGCCTGACTAAATAGTACCCTTCCTATAAAGGCTGAAAACTTCATATAGAATTTTTAGTTAGAAATGAGTTTAAAACCAATTTGGAAGCAGAGTCTCCTCCCTCCCATGCTGAGCAAGGTCTGGGGTGTTTATTTGCAATGTCTTTGCCAAATAAGGTTCTTGCAGCTGGAACCCAGAGTGCAGGAAACAAAGTCAACCCACAAAGAACCAAATTCCACATGTCAGGTGGTAGGGATGGAAAGGTGATTAAGCCCAGTCCCTACGTACAAAGGGGAAACTAGTTGGGGAGGTTGTCAACAGATGATTTCAAATAGCCACAGAGAAGAATCCGTGGGTTTATGGTTTCAGCCACAAGCCCATCAAAGAGAAATGAGTTATCTTATTCTGTCTTCCAAGAAAAACAACAGGTTGACTAAGGGATAGGACTCAAACTCACGACTTCAGAGAGATTAGTGAGGTCTGGGTCTCGAAATACGCTTTTTAAAAAATATTTCTTTTTAGTTGTAGACAGACACAATACCTTTATTTATTTATTTATTTATTTACTTACTTACTTACTTATTTTTAGATGGTGCTGAAGATCGAACCCAATGCCTCACACGTGCTAGGCAAGTGCTCTACCACTGAGCCACAACCCCAGCCCTCAAAACAGCTCTTAATTGATACTCAAGCCATGCCATCAAAGTCTCTCTTGCTATGAATAAGGGAATTGTGTTTCACTTAAGTTGTGTTTCCTATCAAGAAAGGGAGCCTATCCCAGACGGGAACTTTCTTGTTCCAGGTTGGAAAAGCATTGGTCACCTTTACTCTCTACAATGTGTCATTTTCCATTTTTAAATAACTAGTACAGTATGATACATTGGGTTAAGAAGTGCTCAACAACCAAGTATGTAGCAAATGCCAAGTGAATACAAATAAAATATTTCTCCAAAGCCTCCTCTATATGCTTAAAGGTCGAAAAATAAAATTGAGACATTAACTAACTGAACTTAGGTGCTTTTATTGCCTCTTGGAGTTACTTAAGGCTCAAATGACATCAGAGAAACATTCCCCAAACAAACCAAAAACAACAACAAAACCACACACAGAGGAAAAACACATGATCAGGATGAAAAACATCAAAGTAGTTTTCACACTCTGGTAAAACAACCTGAATTAAGAATGACCACCCAAGTCCAAAGCCACTGCCAAGATTATCAGAATCTTTACAGACAAGAGACCACAATTCACACCCTTTAGGTCCCCAGCATCCAGCATAGTGCCTGGCAAACAGTCATCACCCAACAGTAGAGTGTTGCTTGTACATGGAGGAGAAGAAATATTCAAGACCTGGTTCTCACCTGTACTCACTTTCAATAATTCAAAACTTAAAATATTGATAAACAAAGGTATAACTAAGGAGCTTCTATAAGTTAATGCAGAAATCCCTGAAAAAAATGTCTGGTATTCTGAAGCAATCACTGCAAATACCCACTCCCCAAAGTGGAAAGCATGATTGAGTGGCAGCTTGGCCCCTTTCCCACATTCCAAATAATCAGTTGCACAAAGTAGGTTCAGTCCCAAAACTGTTTGGACTTTGTTCTTCCAGTCAACATCTGGGTTCAACCTGATTCCTAACCTCTACCTCCAACTGGAGACTGCAAACACGAAGAACCTCACTCAACAAGAAAGTAATGTCACATCAAGGGCAGGGGAAACACAGAAGCCACTCTGCAGAGATAGAAATGTTCTAAACACCTGAAATATTGAAACAACCTTTTAAGAAGGGAAGTTGAATACCTTTTCTGATGAAAAGTACTCATAATTTTGGAGAGAAAGATGTCTTCTGGGAAGCTAGATGGTCTTACTAGGTAGATAAAACAAACTTTTTCTTTCTAGAAAGAGCATACTTTTCTCTTTGCTGTAGAATATGGTTGCAAAAACCTGGTTCATAATCTGAGACCCAAAAGCTGATTATTTTTACAAGACAGGTCTTAAACTGACCTAGTTTAGAAACCTGAATGCCTTTAAATCGCAAGTGAACTGAAACCATTCATGAGAATGGAGCTTTTGAATGCTGAGAATGTTCTTCAGGGCTCAGCACGAAGATATTTGGCATAATGACTGTAAATATTTGTAAAACTCTGGGTAAATTGACAGTGTCTGACCACACTCAGACCTTCCTTCCAGCGCAGTAGTACAAGAGCAAGTTATCTAGGGTGATTGGTTTGGAGCTCTTTTTTTTTTTTTTTTTTTTTTGGTTGAGTTTTTTGGTTTGTGTGAGATTAAAAGCCAAGTAACCCAATTCTGCCCCTTGACTTTTTTTTCATATTCACTATATATGTTTAATTTTCTTTTAAGCCATCAAGTTAGTCAGAGTACTTTTGAAACAGGCATTTTTCTAAGTTGATGCCCACCACAAAGAATAAAATACCCTGCCAAAGGCGTGGAAGGGCAGGGCAGACGTTAGGTGAAATCACAGCCTTGAATTTCATAATACAATTATCTCCAAGTAGCTTTGTGCATCTGCTAGAGATTTCTCTTTTTCTCTCCTTCTCCTCCTCCTCAAGATAGTTTTAGAAATACTTAAGGAACTGCTACCCATGAAAAGGACCAATGTTCAGAAGGAAGGGCACAGCAAGGAGGGGAGAGAGTCAGAGAGGAGTGAACCATTGAAGGGACCAGAGCCCAGGAAGCTCAGCAGCTCAGGGGAAGCTGCAGCAGATGCTTTAATTAGCCAGCAACTCAGTGAAGACCGGCTGGGTTCCTTTTGCCTCATCCACACCCTGAAAACTGAGTCATCACAAAGTTCATTTATTTTGCTTCTGGGTATAGACACCCCTAATCTCCTGCTTCAGAAATGTTAAATGCATTATCCTGTAATTCATACCTCTGGATGTTCAAATAAACACCCAGAAATGGCAAGCCAGAAGAATACTGATAGTCCTTATAAGGCTCCCCAGCCTATGTTTTGATAAGATATGTGGGACAGAAAGCAATAAGAAACTGACAGTCTATAGTGGAAACATTTATTCAGAGAGAGGACTTCACCCTGAGAAATCTGTATGTAAGAAGTGTATGCGTCAGGAGCAGATTCACAGCAGAATCCCTGAAACTAATGAGAAAAGCAAAAGGTACCCTGGAAGGGGTAAGCAAAAGATGCCTTTTTCCTGTTAAAACAGAAATCAGTTTCCTTTTAACTTAAACTTGAGGCTACCACAGAGTTTGATTCTGTTTTATACAAATTGTCAGAATAACCACAGTGATGTCTGGCCAAGATTCCAGGATTAACCCAACACTGTATCCATAGCTCTGTGTGTCAACATATTGCCATGCATTTCCAAATAACAGAAGGTAGACATCCAAGATCCTGCCAACTTTTATTCTCCCCCAAAGATCCAGGGAGATTTGATCTAATCTTCAATTTTATGATACCTTTGTTACAAATGAAGCTAATGTATTTTCACCTTTAGGAAGACATCTATTTTTAAAAGTTAACAGGTGTTTAAGGCATTCAGAATGCATGCAGTGCTGTATGGTTTCAGCACTAGAAACAGAAAATGAAGCCAAGCGCCAAGGTGTCACCGTTGCCTCGCTTCTCTCGCCCGTCTCGGTCCCTTTTCGTGGACTAACGAGGCTCCAGGCTTGCACCGCCTGCAGCCCCGGAGCCGCGCTCTGCACCTACCTGGCAGGAGGGCAGCGTCCCTCTGGCCGCAGTTCCTCAGCGGCGGGTCCTGCGCGCACCGCCAGCCCGAGCTGCGCGGCCGGCGCCGGGGAGGGGGAGCTCTTCCATTCCTCCCTGCCCTGGGCGCTCTGCGGCTGACAGCTCCTCACTTGGCAGGATCGCCAGCGATCGCGCGCCCGGACCTATCGGCGGGGAAGAGGAGGAGTCCCCGCGCGCCTCCCGGCCTGGCCGGCAGGGCGACGCTGGGGACCGTGCCGGGCGGCGGCGGCGCTGGGAGCCGCGTTTATTTATACAGGAAGCTCAGGCGCCGCACTTCCTACTTCCCATCTGGGTCGCACTTCAAGGCAGGTGATGGCTTAACCCTGTCCGAGCCCGGCTGCCGCGCCCGGCTCTCCGCTCTTGTCGCCGCCCGGGGGCCAGGACCTGGCGCGTTCGCCCGCCGGCCGCGGCAACCCCGAGCCCGTGGCGCACCGCAGTCCAGCGCCCTGCACCCGCCTCGCCCCGCCTCGGCGCTTGCGCCTCTCCCTCTGCGCACAACCGCACAGGCCACCTCCCCGGCTGCCCAGCTCCGGTCTCCCTCCTCCAGCGGCCCACGCCGGCCTTCCACCTCCCTGTTTCCGTACAGCACCTCCCGAGCTCATCACAACAGCTGGCACCTGACCTGTCCTTTTGCGCCTAACGACAGAATTAGAATGTGGGGACATCAAGGCAGCGAACAGTGTCAGCTCGCCTCCTAAACCGCAGGCACCGGCCTTGAGGAAACAGTGGTCTGCGAGGGTGTCATGGAGGGGCTCTGTCAACAAGTTATTCAAGAAACACGTGGGAACTTAACCAGCTGTACCCTTAGGTAAAGCCGCCTTCCACGACGTGCCTTCCTCACTCCAAACTCTGGACATTTGTGTGACATACATGTGGGTGACACACGTCCTGGCTTTCCACACCCGCAAAGGTCACCACCTCAGGAACGTTGTAAGTTGGAACAGTCCTTCCTCCTTCATGGTGTCTTTTTGTGCTCTCTCAGCAACCTCATTCTACTTTTGTAACCACTGTCAGGACACTTCTTCCTGAAAGGAACTCCCAAGTCTTAGGGGAAGGGATGTGCAGCGCAGTGACCCTGCACAGCAGGCGCCGCTCCAAAGGCCAGGAGCCACCTGCTTCTCAGCTCACGTGGAAGCAAACTTCCAGGTCAAAGCCAAGTGCTGAAGAACCCAGCTAACTACTGTGATGCTAGGACCTGCAGCAGCACCAGCCCACTGGAGCAGGAGAAGGAACAGAGGACTGGGCAGAGGAGAGGGCAGGAGAACACTCCCAAGCCCCCAGCCCCAGCAAGGAATGTCATCAAAGCATATTTGAGCCTGAAAAGTCCTTCGAGCTATTTTAATCCAAACACCTCATTTTAAAGACAAGAAAACTGATGCCCAGGGTGAGTTAAGTGGTTGGCCAAACCAGACCAGAGCTGACACAAGACCTAAATCTTTATTGCATGAGAAAAAATTGCATATTAGTGAAAATCACCCCCAAAGGATATCTAATTTCCGATTTAGCAGTGGCTTAGGTTCTAGATAGCTTCCTCAAGAAATTCTCTTGCTATAGTAACCATTGTTGATGGACAGCAAACAGGAAAGATAAGGTCCCCCTAAGAGGCGGCTTTTACTCGTTAGTGTTGATGCACATCTTCTGAGCCTTGAACCAAAGTTCAACAGAGTCCACTTTTTAAATTACCACGCAATTAAGTCATCATCGCTTATCTGTAGAATAAAGGTACGAAGTGGCTGCCAATATGAATAAAAACATAGGTTTGACAGTAATCCCACTGGCTGTCATCACAAAAATTTTATATAATTGGATAACTTCACCACAAATTATTCCAACCATGAAAATTTATAAAAATTGCAGTCAGAATTTAATAAAACGAAATGAACACATCCAACACTGCAATATAATGCAAACAACTCTTTCAGATCTCCCTAAGACATCCACAATGTGACTGAATATCATTCCCTTGAGCACTTATTGATCTCCTCCAAGACAAGCTGCTAGTGGGGAGGCAGATACAGGTAAGTTAAACATGGTCCCCATCCTCAAAGACTTCTCAATCCAAGGTAGGAATCAGACAAGTAAATCCATTATCAGAATGCTGTGAGGAGGGATGTGATGGATGGCCATAAGCTCCGAGTGGCACGGGAGCAGAGAAGAGTAATTAATGGAAGGGGGTTGATGAAAGGATCAAAGAAGGCTTCTAGGACAAGGTGACTGAAACCCGGTGTCCTTGGGCAGCTGAGTGGGGAAGGCAGACAGGGTGAAGCAGGCAGAGCAAATGGTTAGTGCAAAGTCTTAGACAGATTTAGGTACAGCTTTTCCTAGTTTAGGAAGAACAGTTGCATTCAGAATAGAAGAACAAAGACCTGAATGAATGCAGTGACAATTTTGGTTTGAAAAGGAACAATAGAGAATTCAGAAGCAGAATTGGTAAGATGTGGCATTAATTGGATATGACAGGAGAGAGAGAGAGAGAGAGAGAAGAGCCCAGATCGCGACTTCACCAAGAGTGGGAGTTAAGGAGATGCAATGAGCAGGACGATGAGGCTTCACTTTACACCCTGCAGAATCTCAGGGGTCTCTGGAGCACAGGAGAATTCTCCAGCAGGCCACCAGAGAGAGATCTGGTGGAGTGCCTTATGGAAAGTGCCATCATTGAGGTGGTGGTCATGGATGAAATTACTTAGAGGATAAGTCACCCACAAAATGTAGCATCCTGTAGAGGGAAGCAGAGGCTTTGGACCTAGACAAACTCTACTGCCCACTGGTTATTATATAACCTTCAGTAAACTGTTAACATAAACTCGTTTTTTTTCTTCTTCTTTAAAGTAAGAAGAATGGTTTTCATCTTATAGGTTATTGTTAAAGTATATGAGAGTTTGTAAAGTAGCTAGCACAGTCCAGATGGGATAGAAATACCTGTATTGTACAAGTATTGGAAGTGGGGCAAAAAATGTCACATCCTGGGGTTGTGCAGTACACAACCTGCTCAGCTGTACATTGTGGTCCTAGCCTGATACACAATAGAACTCAATCAATCATATTCTGTTGAGAGCCACAGTTTAGTGGGAATGAGGCCTGGCATTTTGCTAGAGGGAATGGTTGAAAGGTGACCCTGCTCTGGGAATAGGGCGGCTCTAGGATTAGGGCGGATCCTGCTAGGAATAGGGCAGCTCCAGGAGAACTCTCGGGAAAGGTCCCTTACAAACTTAAATTCTCTCTACGACTTAGGTAACTGATACTCTTCTTCTCCCACCTTCTCCTCCACCCCACCTTCCTCTTCCCACAGAAGAGTGAATCACCAGATCCTCATTGAACTCAGAGCTGGACGGAACTAACAAATACCATCTGAATAGATCAGAGAATCAGAAGTTAAGGCACAGAAGCCAGGGTTGGAGGACAGTAGGGAGGGGTCCAGAAACTGCTTGAGGCGGGGCTGCAGGTGCCAGGCGTTGGGGGAGCCCGTCTCATGTTATATGAGAAAAAAAATCCCCCTATGCTGAAAAAGTCCACTTTCCTTCCAGATTTACTGCTAGTCACGGGAAGTCCTCCCTCCACAGCCTCCATAACATAGGTCTCAAGGGAGCAGGCTGCTGTTTTAATGTGTCTTCCAGGCACACATCATAGTGGGGCCCTCATAAGGAGCACCTTGGGGACTTTTCCAGTGTAGCAACAACCACAAACTGCATGTGACAATGTTCACATTTCCAGCAAAATGGGGTCACAAAGAGAACTCTGTCTTACAAACCAGGTTCCAGACGCAGATCCTCCTCAATTCCCTGGAGGTGAATCCTGTTCAGATCACATACAGGATGGCCTGCTCAAAGAAGCAGTCACCACCAGATGCAGTGTGTCTTTGCAAGGAGCGTTCTTCCAGGGGCCTCACAACAACTCCTGAACTCTGATTGTGCCCAACCACAGAACTATACTCACCTCATGAAAGCCACTATGTCCCTAGTTGCAAGTAATGATCTCATAAGGAGTGAAGAAAATAATTCACTGTCTAGGGCCTTCTCTAGTCAGACCACAGGCCTGAGGAGCCGTTTCTCTGCTCCTCAACTGTGGCACCTGGGGTATTCTAATGATTAATTCCTGTATCTCTTTCAGTCATCTTTGAAAAGGGTATTGGAATTGTTTGGTTAGCTTTCTACTAACACCAGCCCCTCACTCAATGCTGTACCAAAGTTAACAGCCCTGGTGTCTACTAAACGTTTTCCTTTGGGCTCATTTAATCATATATCGTGCACACAGGCACACACACACCCTCACGCGCACACACAGCATCTTAGCTTAACTCTGTGAATCGCCTCTTCTTCTTCTTTGTCCAAGTTTTGCTTTAAAATAGTTGATATTTTTCTCATCAGTTCATAAGAGTTCTTTGTAGCTTTTAGTTATTAACACTTTTCCTGCAATGTATTTTACAGATACTTTTTTCAGAAATAGCTGGTTTCTACTGATTTGTGTTACTTTTCCATGCAATGGTTTTTGATTACATAAGCAAGGATACAGGGTTTTCAATATGTTTTAAAAATATCCTTCAGGATACATTTCATAGTTAATAAATTTGAAATTGGTGACAGTTGACTCTTTTCTGTAGACCATAATAATTTTAATTAAGAAAATACTTTCTTCAGTACTCAAATACCTACCAGATTCAGGAAAAATTCCAAGTGAAATATAGTCTTCATTTTCCTGTTTTGATATTACAGTATGTAAAGTTATTTTCAAAAATATTATCTTTTGCTTATGTTACCTTTTCTTGAAGAAAAATTATGACAACGAATCTCATCAAACAAATTGTGTCTATTTATAGTTCTGGTTACTGTTTAACCAAATTTAGATACCTAGAAATCACAGGCCTTCTAACGTTCAGTATACTTTGAATTCTGCTAAAAATTATAAATATATCCTGTTAAAAACAGTAGTTTCATGAAAAGATTCTTACAAGTCCCAGTATTCCACGTACAATTATAAAACTTCCAAATGAAAGCCTGTGTGCTGTGTTTGAGTTCTTATTATCTAATCTGCTCAGGTTCTACATTGTATTTATAAGGATAAACTCTGGCTGGGAGTATAGCTCAGTTGGTAGAGTGCTTGCCTTGCATGCATAAGGCCATGGGTTCAATCCCCAGCACCAAAATGATGATCAGTAAGGATAAGTTCTAGTGCCCTCCTGTTTGCAAGCTTAATTTTCCATTAGTGCAATTTGTAAAATTTCAAAAGGTGACTATTTTGCCTACTTATCTTAATTAAAAATTTCCAACAAAATACAACCAAAACTTTCTTTTGCAAAAAGAAAAAAATCCATATTATAGTAGGCACAGACTTACACAGTAGCTCTTCAAAGATTCAAAACATTCCTAAAATCAGATTGATAATGGTCTGCAAAGAGGAAAAAACATGTATTACCTCCTGAAGGATGCTTTATATGCAACATTGGTTTCGTCACAAAAAAATTGTAATTCAACTACTTAGCATATACAGAAAAATACTGATGAATTTTGGCAACTATTTTTATTGCAGTAGAATATTTCTATTGCAATGGGTTACATATGTCATTTTCTGCTCCATGGATTTCTTTCATAAGCAATTCCATTGTTTATATTCTGACACAAAATACTTATTTGCATGTTCACAGAAAAAATAAATAATTTTCAGTGATTGCCTGAGGCTGGATGGAAAGGTGGGTGTTGACTGCAAAGGGACACCAGATCACATGCAGGGAAACAAAGTGTTCTACACTGCATGGTAGTGATGGTTACCCAGCTGCATAACCACTAACGCCCAACAAGCTAGAAACTTAAAATGGGTGACATTTCTGATATGCAAATTTTACCTTCATGAAGCTGTTTAAAAAAATAAATTTTAGTTTTGATGATAAACTTTGAGACCAAATTTACATTCGAATTCACAGTGATATAAGTATTTAAACTGCAGTAGAATGATTTTTCTAAACACCTAACTTTGTTAAATTAGATGAAAATCAACCTTTCAAGTAATAAACCAGTCTTCTATTTGAAGCATCTGGTAATCTTAGTGTAAAACAGCGTGATTTAAAACTGTATATAAATTGCTCTTCTACTAGTGGAGTCATCCACATTAACTTTAAATTCACTTTTCGCACATGCATAAGAAAACATAATACTGATGATGGGTGAAATGCATCTAGGAAAGTCATTTGTTCCAAATGAAGAGTCCTGCTTCCCAGAGTGAACGAAACATGTGACGACCCCTCCTGTGCCTGCATGTGTTGAATCTCTGTCTATGGACAAACTGTTCTTAAGATAATTACACACAGGGCCGGGGCTGGGGCTCATGGTGGAGCACTCACCTGGCACCAGTGAGGCACCATATAGTTAGATACCCTCTCTTAGTGCAGCGCTCTTATCCTCATTGCTTCATTTAAAAACATTCGATCCCCAGCACCACATTTTTAAAAAATAAATAAATAAAGATATGGTGTTCACCTATCACTAAAATATATATTAAAAAAATAATTACACACTGAAGAACACACATTGATGCTGTTTCCATAGACTTATGAATTACATATTCACCACCTCCTTCTTTGAGAAACATGAATTTGGCATTTAATTTTTCATTTAAATTGCACTTTTTAAGCACATTCTCTCTGCTGAAAGGGATTACTCCAAAATAATTTCTAAAGTTATGAACCAGTAAATGAATAGTTACAGATTTAGGCCATTCAAAAATGGCAAAGGCACTGCCCCAAGAACATTCAGACTTCCTGCACTTTCAAATGACCTCAGCATGGTCAGCCTGGCAGTTTCCTCCTTTCCCATAGACTGGAATGGGTCTGTGGTCCTGGGCACCACAGTGGGAAGGCATTTCACTTTTCAGCAAGCACCTTGCATTTACAGAATGGTGTCAATTCACTTGCATTGGGAAAGAACTGGGGGAAAACCTGGGCTATTCTCATCGTCTTTCAAATTTAAGCACAAGAAAAATGCACATTTCCAAGAAATGCTCCCTGAAATGTCTCAGAGTGACTCGGCCAGCTAACGTGCCCTACCCTGCCACAGAAGAAATCACAGTAACAATTGCTCATGCTTCATTGTCTTATTGCAAAATGCATTCTGACTTGCAAATCTGGAACCATTACACCTCTAGGTAGAAAACAAGGCAATTAATTATTTTAATAGTCAGATGATTATATCATCTTGGAATTTAATCAAAACAAACTAAAGGCACATGATACTCCTAAATTATGCCCACCAAAAACCAGGTTTCAGTTGTTTAGTACAGCGTCCCGATTCCTCCTCATCATTAGCAACTTGGGCAAACCTGCTGCCCACCACGAACACGGAGGAAAGCCTTTGCCTGACATGTCAAGATGCCCTTGGTGGGATTCCCTGAAACTTTTGGGGAAGTGGAACCAGAACTATCTGAAATACAGGTAACTGCTGAAATGCACAGAGGCTGGAAGATTCTGTCCTCCCATCAGATCACCCTGATGGTCTGAGACTCACACAGGAAGCACGTCTGAGAGGGGAGGTCTTGCCTAAAACCACCAAGGAAAGTCCAGAGTCTTGGGAAAGAGTGGACATATCAACAACGGGACAATTGGAGGCAGAGACTTGTTTCTCAAAGTTTCTTGAGAAAGTTGAGGATCACAAAGTGGAGGCTTCCTCAGCTCTGGTGTGACTACAGAGCTGTTGAGTCCTCAGAGGGTGCCAGGCCTGGGGCCTGGGACTAAGTATTTTTTTAATCCACCACAAGTTCCCTTTTTTAAACTTAATTTTATTTTTTTAGTTGTTGATAGAATTTTATTTTTATTTATTTATATGCAGTGCTGAGAATCGAACCCAGTGCCTCACACATGCTAGGCAAGTGCTCTACCAATGAGCCACACCCCCAGGCCCCTTAGGGCATTTTATAGATATCATCTCCTTTGATCTTCATGAAGTCAGCATTAGAGAAAGTAATCTAGGCTTATCTACTTATGAATTATGAGTATCCCATCTTTAAATGGTTAGCAACTGATGGACCAGGAACGCTTCATTAAAACACAGCTTCAGCTATAAAGTTGTCCCATGACATGAGACCTGGTTAATCACTTAGGTTAAACTGAGATTCCAGTATTTTTGTTTCTAAGTCAGGAATAATGTCCTTGAACCTTTTAAGATTTTAGTTTGTGATTTTAGCAAACATTTGTTTCATACAAAGACTGATATACCCATCCATTTCCTTTGAAGTAATTATTACATAAAAATAAATATTTAAGTTCTTCTAATCAAATGACCTCATGAAATCCAGTCCCACACCTGGCTTTTTATACTATTGATCAGTGCAGTACAGAGGTAAATTCTGGCTAATAACCTAAATAATTATTTTTACTGGCACAAAATTCAAATTAACATAGAACCTGCCTTCCTTTTTAGAGCCATTTTTCTTTCAGCCTTTTCCACTTTGCATTGAAGTTCCAGTCATACTTCACTATTTATAAGTACCTGAAATTCCTTATTCACAATTCCTCGATTTTCCATTTACCAAGGTCATTCTTCCCACCCCTCTCATCTGGCTAATAGCTCCTCCTCCAAGAAAAGGTCATTCCAGGCCTATCTTTTCTGGGGTACTTCCACCACCTCCCTTTCCCTCCCCCATATAGTTAGATACCCTCTCTTAGTGCAGCACTCTTATCCTCATTGCTTCATTTGGAAAACATTCATGAAGCTCCTATTATCTACCAGGTCCTCTATCAGGTGCTACGAACACAAAGATAAACAAAACAGAACTTTCAGGTGGTGGAGGGAAAGACACAGGTTGGACACGGTAACTGGGCAGAGCATGCCATGTCCCTCTGGGATCCAGGAAGACAGGCAGCTTTTTGAGCCCAGCCCTCCAGAATCTGGAGAATTTAACAGAGCATGGGAAGACAAGGGGCAGGAGGAAGAGAGTATTCTGGGCAAAAGAAATCGAAAGCAAAGTCAGCAATGGCAGAAAGAACTGAGGGGAAAAAACATGATGAAATTTTAGAACTACCAATTTTAAGCTTTTCAAGCTCTAATAAAAGCAAAAAAGCAAACAAGGAAAGTCAACCCTAACTTTATTCCTACATGTATATTAATACCCTATGCTTTCCCTGGGCACAGTCGCAAGCACCTGGAATCCCAGCAGCTCGGGAGGTAGGACAGGAGGACCGTGAGTTCAAAGCCAAACTCGGCAAAAGCAAGGTGCTAAGAAACTCAGTGAGACTCTGTCTCTAAATAAAATACAAAATAGGGCTGGGGATGTGACTCAGTGGTCAAGTGCCCCTGGGTTCAATACCTAGTACCTCACCCCCCCCCCAAAAAAAATCCAATGCTTTCTTAAACCCAAGGGGGATCATTAGGTGATGCATTAACACTACATACAACTGTCAACTTTTATCTAGAGACCAGACAGGTATTTTACAACTCCTCTGATAAGCATTGTGAATGCACAGTTCAGTCATGTCAGACATAACACAGCCGATAGAGAAGAGGCTTCAGAGGAAAGACTTGTTCACCACCCCAGGTGAGGGTGAATAAGTCCAAGCAAATGACAGAAACTTTGGTGCAAACCTCCCAGACAATTCTGCTGGGATTCGGAGAGGCTTATCAAACCTCTTTCTTCTTTCCACGTGACCCAAGGCACACACAAAGGCTGAAGCTCTCTCCCTGTGGTTACTTTGAAAATCATCATCCCAAATGTTATCCTCTTTTGGTGGAAGCAATCCATGTGTTGAGGAACAGAGATAAAATTTTCCAAAGTCAGCAATGTCATTACAAAGTGTTACTTAATCCTGGAAAAAAAAAATGTTCCAATCTTTGCCTCCTAAAATTTTTACACATATTTGTATAAGACCTTGGTCAACCGAGGTCACGGGACTTACCTAAAACTATCAAAATTGGGAAGAGAGAGAGAAATAGAAATCAGATACCATCATCATGGAGTAACTTTGGATGCCACCTGCCAATTTATGTAGACTGTTCAATAGCTCAGAGTGCTCCTGATGTTCCTGCTTCCATTTCTTAACAGAAAGCCTGACTGCAAAAAATACCTCCAAATGAGCAGGATGAGACAGAGTGACCCCACAACATGCCCTGAATTGGACTATAGTGCATCTTATGCTCTATTAAAAAATCAAATGGAGGGGCCAGGAGCATGGCCTGGTGGTAGAGTGTGTGCTTTGCAGGCACAAGGCCCTGGGTTCAATCCCTAGTGTCACACTAAAAAGAAAAAGCCATCTGAGTGACCCAAGAAAAAACGAAAAGAAAAAAATCAAATCAAATCAAATGGAGGGTGTAATCACAAAGAAGAGAACACAATAAGCCCTTTGCAGCAAGGATCGAATAAAAGGCATTTGAGCACAATACATATGGTTCAGAATAAGTAAATCCTTAAGTAGATTAATTGCTTCTTGCTCATCAACTATTTTGCTGTAGAAGAAGAATAGCTCTAATCTATGAAAATTAATAGAAATCTATGTAAATCTAGTCACATGTGTTGAGGTTTTAGTGTCTCACTTTACAGGTGAGGAAAGAAAGCATAGAAAGACACAGTGACTATCTGGGGGTCACACACGGTCGTCAGCACATAACAAGCACCAAGGACCAAGTCAATGGTTTCTAGCCAGAGCACCTTCACTTCCCAAAACATGTCACAGGTGACATCAAAACTC